AATATTATATTGGATAATAATGAATTGATTTCTCTAGGCAAAATACAGTTTATATCAATACGCAGCACTTCAAAACCAGTTTCCACACATTCTCATCGCCTCCACAATGTTCAACGTAAAATAAAAGAAAAAAATCAACAATCATCTCATAAACTACCCACTTTATAAGGTAGAATCTGATAAAATAGTAACTGTCTCTTCATTTTTTTCCTTTGAAAACAGAACAATTCACGTGTTCTGTTTTAGAATACCAATTTCTTAGAATCCTAACAGTTATTTTAGGATATTATCATAACCATTTATTAAGTAATATGTTAAAAACCATGCTAATATATTTAATCTGTACTCCAGCAACATGTGTTTACAGGAATAAGATATAGGGTGCACCAGAAATACTGCTATTTGAGGTCTCAATATTTTGGGTATAAGGAATTATCAGATACTTTCTCCCTTGAGAAAGGAGAACAGAAGAAAATAGGCAAGAATAAGAAAAAAACTGAACGAGGTGAAGAATGGAGGAAAAATAGTCAAGTGAGAAGATATGAGGATGGTAAATGAAAGGAGAAAAAAATAGAATTAGAAGTGAAATCTAAAAAAGACAACAATTTAGTAAATTAAAAAAGAGAGAGAGAGAGAGAGAACACATCTGATGTTAGCCAGTATCATAGTATTGATTCCACTCAATGAGCTGCTCTTTCCTGCTGAAGTCCAGGGATGGGGTGGTGGGGTGAGAGGGAGGGAAAGGCTGGGCTTTAATGGGTCACCACACTCTCCATCCATTCTGATTCGATTAGCTTCCCCTTAGAACAAATTCTCCTTTTGTTCTGGGGCTAAAGGAACAAGAGGGTGAAGACAGAATCAAAAATGAGACTAGAGTGAGAATATGAGAGAGAATATAGGAGAAACCTTTGAGAATTATATAAATGAAGTTAGAATGATCTTTCCAGATGACGCATAGTCCTTCAATTTGTTCCCTTCCCCCTGCTCCTCTGCCATCACCTGCAAGTCTTGTTCGACAATGTTTACCATTTGGAGGGTAACAAAAACCACTAGCTTACAATACTCATCTTCCATCTCTCACTAACCAATGTCCAACAGCCTCACTATTTACTGCAGTCTATCTTCTTCTTGACTATCCAAACCTGGGTATGTCCCATTTCAGTAGCCTTTATAGCCACATCTATTAAACCATTTCTTGCAAGAATGCTGTCAGCAGGCTCCCAGAAGACTTTTAAAAATAATAGTGAATATGTTTTATTTACATAAAATAAAAGGAAATTTTTCCAAATGCTGGATTCAACCATCACATATGCCACTCACATATGCCAATCAAATGATATTCCTAAGAAGAAAATATCTGTTTTTAGTATGGAATTTTTAGAACACTTACATGCCAAAACCATGAAATTTTACAGATTCATTAGGAATATGCCCAAATAGATTTAATAACTATAAATAGTCTCATCAGCTAAAAAAACGTGTTAAAAGTGCATCATGAGGGCAGACTTGCTGTTTCAAACTATGCCGAGGTATCTCTCAGAGAGAGGGATGTAGTGGCAGATGAAGTGGAAAAAAATCTTGGGAGATTCCAGCAGCCTTTGAAGAGTTGGATCTTCACTGGCGGGGAAGACATGCAATAGGACTCAGTCTGCTTTGCTTGGATGTTCATGATTTTTTCTTCTTCCTACCTGGTAGCCACAGTTTCTCAGCCACAGAAGTATGTTGATTTGAAAAGCTTAAAAGCCACTTATAATAAAGAATATAGCAACATGAAAAAGGACATAAAACTTCCAGTTTCATTTCAAATAAGAAAATATATTTTTTAAAAAAGAGCAAACTAGAAATACACACATCTAATTGGACATCTTGAAGATATACCATACCAGCAATTTCAAAAAATCATTTTTGAATTCATTTGTGATTCATTCAACTTTCTCAGACTCTTAGGGAAAAATTTCAAATTGCTTTTCTATGTATTTTAAAATAAGAAAAGTTATCGGCTTTTATATTGTACATTACCACATGTAGCAGAATAAAATTTTAGAACTATAAAAAAATACTTACTGGGCTAATAACGTTCAAAATACAAGATTAAATATTACTCTTTTCATTAATGAGTCTAAACTGGTATAGAATAATATTGGCAATATCTCACTGTTCTGGTAAATTAATTACTGGATTAAAAAATAACATTAAATATGTATTTCAAATATATTAAGCTGTATTTTAATGTAACTATTATATCATAACCAACCCCTTATATCCCTGTTAATAAATATAGGGATAGAAGGGATAATTGCAGACTACAAATAATTTATACTTGTTTCAACTAATTTATCTACCTACCAAACCTGACCTTTCACAGTAACAAAACCCACAAAATTTCCATTTCACCACGTGTATATATCGTCTAGTAAGAAGTTAAAAGCACTGTAGAGATCACAATGCAAGCAACAGCAAGGAAAAGAGGGCAAAGTAAGCTGCATTTAATGAAATGTACCATTCTTGCACAAATATGCCTCTCACTCGAACACAAAGAAGAAAATCTGGTAATTGATCACATTATTAAGGAAGGCTACTTTCATGGAATTCAATGTATTTTCAGAGAATGTTTCTATTATCATCCAAAATCAATTTCTAAATTATAATAGCAGTCTGCCAAGAAACTGGACTCCAACTGGCCCAACTACTGTAGCAGGTAACAGGGAGGAAGGGAGGTTGGAAAGTTAATTTTTATTGAGCTCCTAATGTGTGCCTGGCATTGTGATAGGTGTTTTACATATCTTATTTACCTGAAGGAAAGGAGAGAGTTAGGAGTGGCAGTAAAGTTAAATTTCAACTCCATTTCTGATTCCAGTTCAGCTGATTCAGTACCCCAGTTATGTAAATACTCCCTTTCTCCTTCTCTCACACTTGGCCCCACTTAATCTCTCACTGAATCGTGAGATTTACTTGCATGATTGTTAGAATTTTTCCCCTTTTGCTTGATAATTTTATAATTTTAGTTTGGGGAGGGAGTTTGGGCCTTGAAGTCAGAGCTTTGAGTTGTGGGTGAGTTAAATAATCATTCTGAGTCTCAATTTCCTCATGCACCTTCTTTGTAGAATTACTGTAAAGAGTAAATGACATAAAATATGTCAAGTACTTAACATGATGCTTGGCACACTCTAAGAACTCAGTAAGAGTTGGCTATGGCTATTGTTATAAAAAGGCAAACTGATGCTTAAACAGTTACCATGACTCACATAAAGCCTTACATCAACTTCAGAGCAAAACACTGGAAGCAAGTTCCCCCAACCATCATTCTGTATAGTTTTCAGTATTTTAGAATATTCCTGTGATGCAAAGATGTATTTACACATTCTCACAATATTGAAATATCAACAAACCATACAGATTTTATTAGTTCACTTGTAGTCTTTTACAGACTTTCATATTGATGTGATAAACATCAGAATCTTTGCTCCACCAAGAGTATCCTTTAACCCATTTCATTTTTCGTTAGAGCCTGATTTCTGTCCTCTTAGAATTGACCAACTGGAAATTGGTCCAACTATCCAACAGATGTCTTATTTGTTAAGGTGACATTGAAGAAATGGAGGCAGCATGAACTTTAGAAGAGGGAGAAGCTGCCTGTCTACTGAAGCAGCTGCTTTATCCCACTGCCCAAATCCTCATCCTAGGGGACAAGAAACTTTAGTCAGGACAAGCACTTTGTATGGTCTGGAGTAATGAGAACTTTCTCATCATCAAAATTGTCATAGTGTGGAAAGGTTTTGTCGATTACCAACATTCTGAATTAGTGTTAATCTTACACCTACGTGTTTAATTTTTTAAACTTTCATTGACTTTTATTCACTTAATGAACTTATTGAAGAAACATCATGACTTTGTAATTATCAGTGTTCAGAACCTCTCCAAAATATCACATACTTCTCAGTTTATTCAGAGCCAAAACTGAAATGGCTTCTGCTTTAAGGCAGAATCACTGAGAAAGATCAGACCTCACAGGAGTCGTCTTAGCCCCAAAATATTGCCATTCTTTTCAAAAGTTTCTTCTATGACTAGAATATGCAAAAGCAAATTGAGTTTAGGTGCAACAGGAAATATTTACTCACTCTGAAGAGTTAGTGAGCTATAAGTAGAATATTTACCAGAAAAAAACTATTTTTTTCAAATGAGGATAATTATATTAATAATCAGATTATTTTCACAATTTTTTTAAGGCAATAAACTTTATTTTGGTAGAGATAGGAGAACAAAGTAATCAACTGAGACAGAAAATAATCCAAAATGAAAATCATACAATGTTCATTTTCTAAATCCAAGATTATGAAAAATAGCCCTTGAAAATCTACCATAGGCACAGAATGCCGTTGTCATTCTTAGCCTGGAAAGGGATTTGTGAGATTCACAGAGCATGAAAACTTTATGAACTTATTTAGTTAAGTCCAATAGTTTTAGAACTAAAACTGTAGTCCTCTTTTGGGAAATGAAAAGCCAATTCAGCTATTAAAGCTTACAATTTTTTTTAAATCAACATTTAAAATAAACCAATCTACCAGACACTTTAATGAACAAATCAATATTAAAGTAGATGAACGAATGCATGCTGTTACAAAACATATCTACCAGGTAATTCAATAATTTGTAAAATGAAACGTAAAAGTTATATCAAGAAAAAGTTCAATTTGTACATATTGTCACTTTAATTTCTATTCTTAAATTATCATCCCAGTTCATGGGGTGTATAATGTTATCCCGTACCTGTCCATATAGAAATGCATATCTAACCTCAGCCACCACCAATATTTCGTGTTCTTTTAAAACCATGCCTTACATTCCATCAAATAAGAAGAAGAGTCATTCAGTTATTTTTTAAAAGGCTATTCAATGATCTTGTACACAAATAGGCATTTCATTTCATTGGTATTCTTTTAAAGCTTTAGCAAATCTTTATATTAGTTCCTCCCACTGACTCGTAAGGTAATTATACATACCACAGTCTGATGATTAACTTGAATCACTTCATCGCCAGCATGGATTTTCTTGCACCGATCTGCAGGTGACTAAAGTTAACATAAAGGAAATGATAAAGAACATAAGTTTCATCAGTCATTTCCTCTCTCTCAAAGCACTACAATAAGTTCACCACTTTAAATTAGATCAAGAATTTAATTATAATCCTCAAGGAATTAAACTAACAAAAGTGGTTACTAGTATTTACTATATTGTTTGTATTCTCTGTATAACTAATGACAGCAGAAATGCAAAACGATATATATTTATGTTATAAAAGACCAATATGTTTCTCAGAGCACTAAGAGAAAATGAAAATTGGTATTAACCTTTGCAAACTTTATACAGACAACTGTATTAGGCTCTACAGGCAACTGATTCAAAAACATATTTCAGAACATTATCTTTTTTAACTTTGATCCTTTCCATTTAATACAAATAATTCACATTAACTTCAGCGAATAAATATTTTCAAGTACATGCTTATGGTCAGCATCAAAGCTTTGTCAAGTGATGATCAAATCATTAATTTATTTCATCATTAATACCATCAATTCTGAATAACTGAGAAAAGCAAATTAAGAGTTGGACAGCCATTAGTTCAAAATTACATTATATAACACTCTCTCTCTAAATGTCTAATTATAAGAGCATCCTATTTCTTATGCTTCGTATAATGTAATACACTGGCAAACAAAACCACACTAAATAAACTAAAGCGTTAACATTTCTATAGGCTGTAACAATTTCATCACTTTTTTCTTTACTACCATAAGAAATTGAAAACAAAAACAAACAAGCAAAAAACAACTTCGAAAAGCTCATTTTGACAAGTTTTATGAAGTTTTTAGGAAACTAAAATGAGATTTAAGATAGAAAGTTTTATAATATTGTAGGTATGGGTAATAAATTTAACATACTATTCTTTATTTTTCCTCTAGTAACTGATTATTGATTATACACATTATTAGACATTTTAATGACAATATGTGAATGGACTTTTGAATATAAAGAAAATGCATTTTCTGAAAAAATAGATTGTGTATTTATATGTGTGTTAAATTTATCTATCAAACACAACTATAAATACTGTAATAGTATTTATTAGTATCTATTGAAAGCTAAAGAAGAATGATACAGTGATGGAATCAGCAAAGTAAAATGCTACTTTTGAGACCCTGGAATAGGATTTACTTTAAAAGTGATTTCTAGTTCCTTTATTTTTTATTCATTCCCAATTTCCAATTATTTTTCAAACAAAGAAGTCTTGAAACAATATTAACCTCAATTCAACAAATCTTAAAATTCACAATAAAATTATATGCCATAGGCTCGAATTGAAGATAAGATGATACCCCACGGAATTTCAGTTATTGAAGTAATAACTCAAGTGTACGATTAAGAGGATAGTTCATCTAGGATGTGAACTCAACCCTAAGAATTGTGTCAAAAATGTACTTATTTCACAGCACCTTTAGGAAGGGGGCATATTACCCAATCAGACAAGTACCATGTAACAATTCGGAAAAGTTTGTAAATCATTACTTTAAGAGAGCTGTACCTATAGAGTCAGTCCCTGCCCTACTTGGTTCACAATTCTTTTTAAAGGAGGGTATGAAAGAAAAGTATCAAGCGAATGGCTCTAGTCAGAACACAAAAGAAAATGATAGTTGGTACATAAAGTTCAAATAAACTAAAGCAACTTTTTGCACAGATAAGTAGGAAATGGAGTAAGTCATATAAATTATAGACTTTCAGTGTCAAAAGAGACCTTAGAGATCATTTTGTCTGAATCTCTCTTTTTACTTAGGAGAAAACTAAGCAACTAAGGCATCGCAAAGCAAAATAACTTACCCACTTTAGTGAGCAGCTTTGCTAAGACTCAACACAAGATCTCCTAATGAGAAATGACTGAGGGTACCAAAAATAGTAACATAATTTCAAGACAAAAGAAGAATTAAATGATGAACTATTAATATATGGTTCGTATCTAAACTACACACAGAATCAGTCTTTCTTTGATCACTCATCCATTTAACAAATATTACTGAGTGATTAATATGAGCAATGCATTATTTTTTTATAGACCCCAGACAATATAGAAAGATACGTTCCTACGAATTCTTCAAGATATAGTTCAAAATCACCATTTCTGTGATTCCTTCTCTGATTTCATTTGGCAGCATTTACCATTTTTTCCTTTGTCCATCTAAACAAATTTCACTACTTGTTTACACAGATAAACCTCTATCTGCACTCCTTAGGGGCAGCAAGCTAGTTTAATTAAAAAATTCTTTCAAGTACAACTGAAATTTCACAAGGTTGTAAACTATCATAAAACAAACAAACAAACAAAAATTCTTTCAATACTCAACCCCACACCTGGAACATAGCAGACACAAAGCAAAGGTTTGTTAAAAGAACAAATGAATAAATAAATGATCAGATGAAAGTACAAATAAATGAGAATGATCAGTGACAAGAGTATAGTTTACAGTATCTTACTGCATTTAAAAATTTTAAATAGTTGACAACATGCATTTAACTGATATTCTTGATCTCATATAACTCTCAGATTTAATACCAAATATAAGCCAATACAGCAATCCAACAGCTATGTATATCATGTGTTTCACCGTTCATAAGACACCAAGAAAAGCAGGGGGAAAAATATCAATAAATGATTATAGTAATAGGTGAATTAGATGAAGAGAATGTTGATTTTTTTGAAGGAAAATGCTGGTAAGATGTTGAGATCAATAGTAACTTGAGATTAACTAATTCCACCTCAGTCTTCTTGGAAGGAATACAGCATAAACATGCAATTTGTCAGAATTTCTAAAAGAAAAAAAAATTCAAAGCTCAGCACTTGCTTAAAAGAGTAGGATGGAAATCTGGGACAACCAAATGGAGGAATAATGGATTATGCTTTTCAAATCTATTACATTGACTGTGTTAATGCCCAACACAATCACTTCACATTTCTGTAGCTCTTTATAGCTTAGTCTTTCACCTTTATTAACTTATTTGATTTTCATAACAACCTAGTGAGATATGTAGTGCAGATGATATTACCTCCAGTTTATAGCTGAGGAAACCAAAGCAATGAGAGGGTAAGTGACTTGCCAAAAATTACACTGCCAAGGCCTGGAGACTCTGACCTACTGCTTGCAGTGGTTCTCAAACTTCAGTAAGTCTCAGAATCAACTGCTAAAACAGAATCTCTTATTAAGAAACAGGCTGGTCTCCAGAGTTTCTGATTCAGTAGGTTTGGGGTGGGGCCAGAGAATTTGCATCTCTAAGTGCCAAGGGAGGCTGATGCGGCTGGTCCAGGGAGGGGCTGGTCCAGGGAGGGATCTCACTGTGAAAACCACTGAGCTATACCATGCTGCCCCTCCGCTGAATTATACTGCAAGTATTCAGAAAGCCTGAGTTATCTGATGTTTCTTTCCTATGAGTTAAGTTTCTTATTATAACTAAACTATTTGACAGATGCAAACGGATTCTTTTTCAGATGTCACAATAACTTCTCATGAACCAGAAAATACTTAACAAAGACAAATCTCTGGCAATGAACAGAAAACATCTGATTTACTTTAAGTAAATAGCTATTCTAAATCAAATAACATGACTGAAATTCTCCCAAAACTACCACTTACTAACTCAGTATGTCTTTTTAGTTTTATCTCCTAATCTGTTCGTGTCCTCAGAAGTCAACCTCAACTACACGAGATACATAAATAGTTTAACAATAAAAGGAAAAACATATCAAAATCTGAAATGTTGTAACACTTACATTTTCTGTAGTTCCAGTTATTACATGGAGGCCATCATATGTTGATTTAATATACATACCCTAAAAAAAAAGACAGCATCAGAAAAAAAAGTGAGGCAACTGAAATGTTTTCAAGTATGTTATAACCTCATCTACAAAAAAGCAAAATAAAATTATCCTATCAAATTAAAATTGCCACACACCCCAGGGATGAATCTATGATCAATAATGATGTCTTTAAACTGCTAAGAAATTCCTATCTGAATATTCTGGTTTCTAAAGTTTGCCTGAAGAAGCCTGTACTCAGCTTAATCAAATAACTACTTGATAAGTGAACTGCCTATGAAACTTATAAAATGCAGCATAGTAATTCAATATCCTGAAGAAAGGACACACCTCACTCCCCACAAAATCCATACTATGTATTCTGCAGCAAAATAAGTTATGATGGGAAATTCAAATATTGCTATGTTATTAGCTTGATACATATCACACAATAAAAAGTAAGTTCCTGATTTTTACCTACAAAAGCGCTTTGCATTTAAAAATATTAATTTCAAAAAGAATTAATTTTAATGAACTTGAAGTCTGAAATATAAAGGATTTAACAATAACCACAATATCATTTCAGAAAAAGCCTATATTTAAGCACTTATGTAGACAATTACTATAATGTTAATTTCCCATACCTTTATGTTAATTACATATTTAGACACTTGAATGTACATGTGTTTTCAACGAAAATAAGTAAGTAAAAAAAGACAAGAAGCACTAAAGTTCATGGTATGGAACTGTTAAGAAGTCACTGGGTAGGTTTTAATTCTGAAAAGTCACTTCAGTAATATCCTATGTCTAAAATGTTGGTATCAGTTCCAAAAATGGCTGAGACTGGATTTTTAAAGTAAAACAAAATGAGTGTAATTTTAAAAGATGTTCATTTACCTGTAAACTCTAGTTTCTTAAATGAAAGCTCATCACTTTATATAAAATAACTAACATTAACAGAAGTACAAACAGAAATTAAGAAACTGGCCACTAGTTCTTGGCTAACACCATATGGCAATATTCAACCTTACACTGGTGGCAAGGGCATAACATACTTACCTTTGAAGTTAATATTTATTCCATTATTCACTGCAAGGTAAATATAATGGTGCTATTATAGAACTTAAAAGAGGATAAGATCCTTGCAATGATTTTCCCCTCAGGAATTAACAAAATGACATCAAACACAGGATCTTAAAGTATATTTGCAAGAGCTAAACACCTAAATTTTGTCTTACCTTTTTTTTTACATAGAAGGATTGTGAGAGGATAAAGTGGAAACATACAGCGAAAGAAACAATATATATTGCTTGGACATACAACACAATCATCACTCATTATTACCTATCACCATCATCGCTAACATCTGTTTGTTACAATGTGCCAGGGATTGTTTTAATTGTTTTACATTTATTTCACAATAGTCTATGTGGTAAAAATTATCATTACGTCGGTTTTAGAGATAAGGAAACTGAGGCACAGAGAGGCTGGGGAGTCTGCCCAAGATGGTGAAGCCAGGTTTCAAGCCCAGGCAATCTGACTCCAAACCAGACTCTCAACCATTAGGCTACTGATTATCACTTTATTAACAGTTAGGAGAGTTGTGCACCTTCACTTTTCTTATTAAAACATAATATTTGGCAATGTAGATATTAAAGTTAAACATTCACTCTTTACCATCTACTCTAAAAGACTAAGACCTCTTTAGCACACATGTACCACGTGGAATGTGGTTATAAAGAGTAACCTGGTTTGATATTTTACAAATTTATTTTAATCACCCATCTCTTCTGACAACTGTAAGTAGAAGTTTATTATATTTCTCGCCACACTTCTTTCAACACTGTGCATTACCAATTAGGAATTAAAGTGTTTGACAAGAGCTCTAAATAATTTCATAAATGATTAGGTCATAGAAAAAGTCTAGTATCCTAAGATAAATGCTTAGAAAAGACATTATAGTCATGGGGTTAATAAAAACTCATAGAGATAATCTAGTTATGACTCTGTAAATAAAATGTGTAATTACTGCACATACCAGGAACTTCAAAAATGGCACTTGTAAGCTAAAGCAAGTATCTCATCATTATTTATATAGAATTAAATGTTATATAATTTATATTAAAGCTAATTTTTTCAGATGGATAAAAACAATTTTAAAATGCTTAAGTAAAGAAGGATCTAGTTATGCATACAGAGCTCAATTCTAGCAATTTCATAGTTATGAGCAACAGGATAGAAAGAAAGCAAATTTTTAAAACGCCACAAGAAATGAAGATATTTAGTTTTATGCAATATTTTCATTTCTAATCTCAATAAACCATTTGTTTTAACTCACTTTAATAATCAAAACTGACTTCTTCATCCTTTTTATCTCCCTCTGGCAGTACTAATGAGAAAAATGGCCAAAAGTCAGGCACCAAAAGAAAGTAAGAAAAGAAGCAAGTTGCTTGGACAAGTTTCAAACTAATCATCTTCTGAATAATGAAGAGTCCACAGAAACACATCTGATCACTTGTGCACCTCTGAGAAAGGGTCAAACAGCAGGAGGACATGTAATTCAAATGGCTCTTTTTCTGGAACTGAGACAAATCTGGTGTTCCATTTCATCAAAACCTTCATTCTTCCTACTTTTTTTTTTTTAAACCAATTAATTAATTCTGGACCTGCCTCGAACAGCTCCCTCTTCCCTGCTCGACTTGCCAAAATGACATTTGCTTCACTCTGTCTCCAAATGTTGGTTAACCAACAGGAGCCGAGGCAACCTCACAGGCAAGTCAATGGAATAAGGCATATTTGGAGATAGTCCAAGTGCCTAAATAGTAAAAGAACTCTCTGAGACCAAGAGGCTTCTCCAAGGATGCCCCCTAAGCCCCTTCCTCTCTGTTCATCTCTTGGCTCTGATCTAGTTTCATATGTTCCAATAGCTCTCATTATCCTTCATTTAATTTTCTGCTAATTATTGTTGTGTGAAAGCATTTTAGAAACTATTTTCATGTTTTAATCATAACTAAGCACATTTCCTACCATTCTTTAGAATGGTCAGGACTTTCAAAACTAAGAAATTCTAGGAGATTTGGCTAATTCGGGAGAAAGCTGATGAACAATCTATCCTGTTTATCCAGTGGAAGAACAAAGCAGTTACCGTTTGCCTATGAGAGACGTTGTGTTTTGAAACTGGCAGAAGATTTTCTACAGACGTTTTAAGCTAATTAAATTTCATTAAAGCTTAGTATCCTCTCACCTCTTTCTAGTTCTTTCCTTCACTTACCATTTACACACTTCCTATGGCTAACTACATGCTAAATGTTACCAAAATCCTCAAAGCTATTTATTTCAAATGTGACTGACTAAACTTGCTTAAAGGTGACTGATTTTTAATATGATACCTTGAAAAAGTCACATAAAGTTTCTATCTCCCCTCTAACATGAATCACAAGAAATAGTTTTATACTTAATTCTTTTTATTAATATTCAACATTTTAGGTTTTTCTTTTCCTCCCCTGGAAATATTTTCCCAATGAAGAATTACTGATGGTCCTTTAAAAAAGGGATTTCTCTAGGTACTTCCAGTTTTAAAGTCATCGTCCTAAACTCACACCCCTCTTTAGCAATTCCAATTTTAAATGTGGGATAATAGAACAAGCTTTTTTAAGAAGTACTTTATTTAGATTTACCTGGACTCAAACTCTGCCACTACTGTGTATTACCTCTATATAATATAGGACAAATTGGTGAAGATCTGTGATTCCATTTTCTCATTTGCAAAATGAGAAAATACTCTATAGAGTTGTGAAGAAAATACCTGGTAAATGATAGGCACTCACTTCTTTCTTTTTCTCTTTCAGCTCTTCCCCAGACTAACCAAATCTGGTTCTTAGCATTTTTAAGTTCGTGACTATTCCAAAGATTAGACCCAGATCTATCTCTTTCAAATTTAAAAAATAAAAGACCTTTATTTAAAAACATCAAGATTTCATAAAGTCTATTAGTTAGCATTGTGTTGACTCACTTCAAACGGTTATTTTTTTCCCATGATTTCAGTGGAAATTAGAGGAAAAGATCAGGCTCTTTTCTCAGAACAATACCGTCCTCAGAACTGTAGACTCAGAGCTAGAGAGAGCTTTAAGGATGATCTAGTCCACCCCTTCCTGCCCCCAACATTCTACAGATGAAAATATCAAGGCCCCCATCTTGCCCAGATCACACAGCTATAGTTTATGTACGTGATTTGTATTCAGGTGTCCTGACTCCTAGTCTAATATAACATAGTATTAGTTCAGAATTTCCCACTCTACAAATCATGCTTAAAGAAATTCCTTTCCTTTATAACTACTGAAAGGGGAGATACAGAAAGAAAAAGCTTTAATATTACAGGTTGAAAGATGTTTTAAATAAAACTGGACTTTGTAAAGGTAACCAAGAGGAATTTAAAACTGTAAGAATTTAAAATCCTAAGTATTACTGCAAATAAGTTTCTAAATGTTAGAAATAAGCTCTTAAAACTAATCAAAGTTAGATACAACACTTATGGGTTACAATGATGACATACTTGCTGGCTACGTCTGAAGTGCTGATTTCCATCTTCCCAGGAAAACAATAATAAAAGCCACAAAAAGCTCAAGGAACTATGGTTACCCAAAAGTAATTTGCCAAATATGAGGAGAAAAGGCACTCTATCGACTAGATGGCTTCAAAATGAAAAGCCACTGACTGGTGGCTGATGAAGGCTTTACCCTCTAAAACATTTATATATATACATACAACTGAAGAAGAAAAGTCACATAAAAAGTTAAACCTGCTTAGAGGTCTTTAAGATTATCTGAATCAAATTATTAATCCAAGTTTCCAAGATTTCTATTTTCTAAAATATCATTAATGGTATTCTTCGAAAATGCAACTACAGGGAGAAAGCAGAAACAGTGCAGCATCAAACTAACATGTAATAGTTGCGTAGTAGGTAAGATGTTCTCTAGCCAGTTTCTTATTTTTTGTCTCTCCCTCATTAATATTAATTTTATATGCTTTCTTTCTAGAAAAGTATTAAAGAATAAGTTCTCACTTGGGTTAAGTTTAGAACCAATACAATTTTTAATCAGGTGAACAAAATATTGAAGATAATTATCTTTATTATTACATAATAAAAAAATACATCTCATAGATGGTAGCCTAGTGTTGGCAATATTCATCATCTGCTTATTCACCCTTATAAGAATGGATGTGAGTTATAAAGAATATTGAGTTTATTTAGCTTACACAAACTAAGGGAAGAAAGACCTATTAAAAACAGAATAAACCAAAGCAAAGCAAAACACCCACTTGCATAGGCAGGTAACATTGTGGATCTTAATATAAAACTTTTAACTTAAACTTCCTTTAAACCTAAGGAACTTTGGTAGGGGGTGAAAGAACGTAATAAAAGGTAATTTATTACCAAAGTAAACAGGATAATTCAGAAATCACCATTTTAATTGCTCTCATTTTCATTTATCTTCATAAAACTTCTTATCATGACAAACTCCTGCTACCTTAACTCCTCTAGAAAAAAATACCAAAATGTTCAAAGTTCATTAAAATTCATGGATTCCCATATTCGGAGGTTGCTTTGCCCACATTATTAGCTGTCCACTCAGGAATAGTGGCTTTCATCAACTTAGTATCTCTTACCAGCCCTTCACTTGGTTTGATGTTTGCCAGCTGAATCACTTCCAGGTGGGCAGACTGTGAAACAAGAGGATCTGATGACAGGGATATGATGTGGTCACAGACTCCAGAAAGAGTTTTACACTAAAAGCAAAAAAAAAAAAAAAAAAGGAAAAATCATGGTAAACACATCTTGTAAGTAATATATAAATCATTTTGTCACAACCTTCCTTTTTACAAGGAAAAATAAAAGAAACAGTAGAAGAAAGTAGTTGGCATTTTATTCTATAAAATCTATATAAAAAAGGTATTCAGGTGAAAGAAATAGAAACACATACAACACATCTATATTCTATATTATGGAAAAGAGCTATACATCCAAATAGTCAAGAAAGTTATGGCATGTTTTGTTTCTATTATTTGACTCATCAGACCTAAAATAAAATGATTGTTTCTGAACAATCTTAATAATCCGAGAACTACTAGATAACAACCATCTTATTGAATTGAATTCAATAAGTTCAAAAACCTTGACGTCTTTTATTTCAAGATCAGAAAAGTTAAAAAAAAAAAAAATCCAGCCAAGGCCCAGGGAAGATGACTCTCCCAAATCTGCTGGGTGAATTCCTCCTACTTACTCATCTAGACTTTCTTGCTCAAGGTTACCTTTGTATAAAGTTTCCCAGCTCCTCCAGGCAAAATGTGGCACTCCTTCAATCCTACCTTCTCAGCGTTCTATGAACAGTCTAAAATTGTAGGATAATTCTGAAGCCCTCTGAGGCAGGGACCATGTCCTACTCATCTCCGACTTCTCTCCCTCCCCCTATCCCCACCCACCACCCACACCAGGTAGACAGATCCTGGAACATATAAGGCACTCAATACATATGAGTTAAATGAAGAGCAAATGAGCTTTAACAATCAGTGGAGTGGCTTCACTGAGGACAGATAGCTAGTGCTTCAGTTAGGATAAATCCATTCGTGCTGATATAGAATTGATTTAAAATATGTTACATCCATAATGGTATGTTTTGACTTAGACATGGTCAAATCATGAAGAAAGTAGAACATAAGTGAATGAAGCTTGGAATATATTGTCCTAAAATATGCTGGCCCTTAAGATGCTTCACAGACTCTCATTGTACTTAGTGAAGTCTGATGTCCATCATTTGAGGTTACTTGTTTTTCTTGCCTTAACTGTAAGAGGAGCTATTATCTTGCAAGAATCAAGCTATCTTCTATCTCCAACATGTTACATTTGTTCTGTGACCACTGCATTACTCTATCATAAGGGAGACAGTTTCTGCCTGGTCAGGTTATGGACTTTTTATTTGCTGCATTCTGTACCGGGCTCAGCTTCTAAAGACAGAAACCACCAGGTTAAATTTCCCTCCCTAATCGCACTTCTGCTTTTCACATCTGCTTCTCAAGACTGCACTTTTATTGTGGCTATCGGCCCCTAACGATGGACATTAGCTAGCATGATACCAATATCCATGGAAAGAATATGGGCTTCGTTGGTATGAAGACAGATGTGGGCAATCACCACACTGCCAGTTACTTGCTCTGCGACTGTGAATAACGTATTTTATATCCTTGAGGCTCAGTTTCCTCATGTAGAAAATGGGGCAATAAAAATTACTTTATATGGTTTACACGACCGATCAGGATAACGCATAAAAAAAGACACTAAATAAACGCTTATTCTCCCCCTGTTGCTTTCTCTATCCTCAAAGGGCTTAATTCTTACTCATGGAATCAATTATCTCATTATTCTTAATTACATGGCCTTGTTGACCATCTTACAATGACCAGTAATCATACTGCCTGCTCACGATGGAGAGTTCCCATCTCTTTACTTTCTCCGATACAATGAAGGTATTTTCCCTGAAGAGCTGCTAAGCAAAGTGCCAACAGGAAGACCACCTCCCAGAAATAGGGAAACCTCCAGGGCCAGCTTGTGTGCAGTCGCACAAGGGCTGCACTCAGTATTATGCTCTGCTGTGGCTGTCTTGGAATTCTCAACTGTTTTTGAACAAGGGGCTCAACATTTTCATTTTGCACTGGGTCTCACATATTATGTAGCCCATCCCGGGACCCCAGTCTCTGTGTCTGTGTTTTCTTTTTAAATTCCTCTTAAAGATATTTATCAGCAGCCATGGAGAAAAGGACAGAACGGCAGCAGTTAACATACAAAACCTGGCTGCAGTTCAAATTACTGCTGTTTGACAGGAAGAAAAACACTTTGGGGCAGACTTAAACCTTTTAACTATTCCTTTCCTCCCTATTCCTTTCCTCCCACATGTGGTTACATTTTCATTCTTATTTTCTCTTTATCTCAAGGGAGGAGATAACATTGTTAACTTTAAAGAGTTTCTACATAGGATACTTGGATTACATGATAATCTGAACGTTACTATAAGTCAGTATGCTAAAAAGAACCCTTTGTGGTTTCTACAAATTGAAGCATATTTCAAGAGTCCAATGTATAAATAAATAGGAAGGTAATGGAGGTATATAAATGGCTCAACATGTGTGCATTACAACATTCAGGGCCTCATATACACACCAGTAATGAGCAAAGTAGCTCTTCTATTTGGGCATTGGAAGCACTTAGAAGTGGGGTAGGAGGAGGGAAGGCAGAAATACTAGACGGTAGACGTTTTTACCAAAAAGAAAATACCAATTAAATCCACCGTATTAAGTTGTAAATCATTTTTTCAGATTCTTCCTGAGTAATTTTGTTTGCCAAATGCCTGCTATGTGCTAAGTCTGCTGGGAATACAAAAGATGAGGAAAACACTGACTTTACCAGCAAAGCTATCAGGATTTAACAGATTAAAGATCTTGAAAAAAATAATAGAAAGACTTAGAAAAGAAACTCTACTAGAGCCTGCTGCCTGTTTTAGAGATAATGTACTAGAACCTTCATATTGCAGCATTTGGCACTTGACTAAATAAGCCAATTAGAAGGGGTATAAAATGGCCTGGCTTTACCCGCTAATTCTACACTCATTATTGCATCATACATCAAGCCACTGCAGGAAACCACTTTAAGAGTACTATGGCAAAGATTCAGGGAAGTTAACACATTCCTGTAAAAAGTAAATTTGTTCATTCAGTAAAATCGTTTGATATTATGTTATCATTTTAAAATACAGCATTATCTATTGCTACCTGACGGTGTACTCTAGAAAAAGAAAACTATAATATAGCAAGAAAAATACATTATTATAAGTTAACATCAACCCTATAAGAGCACCTACTAGGTGTCTGGCACAATGCTAACCAATTCATATTCGTGATCTCATATATTCTTATAACAACTTCCTGAAATAGGTATTATGATAGTCAGTTTAGCAGATGAGAAAGCAAGACTAAATAAATAGATCAAGGTCACTGCCTGGGCAGAAGAAGGACTTAAATTTTTAATCGTTTTGTGCTTGTATCTCTTATTTCAATCTTTAAATCTCAACTTGTTTTTGATCAATTTCATTTTGTATTGTTTAAAATCAATGTCTGTATACAATAGATGTTATATAACACATTTAAACTACACTGTATAATGAAATATAAGGCGAGCCTGCAAGTGTTCTTGAAATTTAGAATGCAGTTTAGTTAAGGAGTAGCACATGTGAGACTGTGAAAGACACAGCTCACTGGGAAAACTTAAAGCAATTTTAGCAGCAAAAGGACAACTATTCTAGCTAGAATATGACTGGTAACCCCTTGTATAAAGGAGATTCTTCTGCTATTTTGCAATATTTCTACTAATGGATTTTAAATTCTATTCATCGTTGGTTCTAAAAACAGAAGGAAAATTTTGAACCTAAAATTATAGTAAATAATATGCCTTTAATAATGCTAAAGGGAACATAAAACGGCAACGAGTATTATAACTGACCCTGTGGATTCTGTTATAAGCTATTGAAGATGGTGACAAAGGATTAGAGACTGAATAGCAGTTAACAGACTGGGCTAGCTATGACTTAAGAACCTTTTAAAACAGAAGAGTGTCATGGGCCAGACTGAATGGTGTTGTGATTTTTCCCTCTAGTTATGTTAATTTCAAATGTGAATTAATATAATTAATAGAGCATATTCTCAACATGAAATGGAAAGTTTTCATATTCTGTTCTATATACATACTACTTTACATGTATTTGCATATATATATGTATGTATGGCTAGTTCACCCAAATCTAAAATTTCTAAAGGGAAAAAGATCTGAGCATAGCATGTTGAGTATAAAATAAGTAATGGTTTTAAAACAATTGTACAAGCCACATTTTAGTCATTGTGGAGATTTAAAAAACAGCAACCCCATGTTAATATACTAACCAATAACAGCATTCTTTCATTATTGCTAAGTTTATCAGACTCTTTTTAGATTAATATGTGAAGTTTCAGCTATTGTATTTTAAAAAGGAAATGGAGAAAGTGTCTAAGTACAAACAATAGTGAAAAGCTAAGGGATAGGAAAGAGGTCTTAATGATAGCCTCCATAGCTTGGGAGCGTACTCAGACATGATTGGGCTGCTTAAAATATCTTTATTTATGTTTTTCTAAGTAAGTGGAATATCGGTCAGTTATTCTTCTGAGTATATTGAAGGAAATGAACGGAAGTATCTTTAGACTAAAAAATCAGAAATTCATTTGACATAAGAAAGAACTTCAGACTCATAAGCTTAACAAAAGGTTTTACAAAAGGAAAGTTCTACTTTGGGGTATATACATAAATACAAGGGAAAAGAGTATAAAACCATGATAAACCAAGAAAACAACAAACAAATGGATAAACATTTTAAGATGGCAACAGTGAGGTGAAAGCTACAATTTAAGTACAGCTTAAATACTTCAGGTTTATTATCAATAACATGGAAAAATAGTAACAAAAGTTTTATTTTGATAAATACCATGTACACATTAAAATAGTTATTAATATAAATAATATTTCAATTAAAATAGTGTAGAGGACAGAGTATGTTTTTATTTTATTGTTTGGTTCATATACTAATTCAATATTATAAATCATACAACCCTGTGCCAATTTAGGATAATATTTACATTGTATTTGGTGTATAAGAGATGCTTCATTTTTATAAAATAGTACACATTTATTCTGTTACTAAATTGTGAGAACT